TCCTTCACTCATTAGCCTATAAACTGAAATACATGCCTAGACTAACATGTAAAAATTGGGGCGGGGAAGAGTACAGCTCAGTGGTAGAGCATATGCTTAGCATGAATGAGGTCCTGGGTTCAATTCCCAGTACCTCCACTGAAACAAATAAATAAGCCTAATTACCTATCCCCCCAAAAAAGAGTAAAACACTGAAAGGCTGAGTGGCAGTTCCAGGATGAGTGACGTTCTACTTTCTTAGGATGAACTAAGGTCTTTCTTGGGGAGCCCCCACTGTCCCTGGGGCCTCTGAAGGTACCTGTTTTCTTTGGCTGCCAGTCTGGAAGCCGGAGCAGGCAATGGCAGCGAAGGTTAGGGCTGAGCCTCAGCAGTCAGTGTGTGAACGTTCTCTTAGCCCCTGTTCAGCGTGGCTCCCTGGCCCCCAGCTCCTGCAGTGTGCCTGGTGTTCCCCACATGCTCTCTGGCTTATTCTTTCCCAAAAATAAATCTTAGGAAAGGGTAAGCTTTTCATTGGCAGCTGAAATGAAGGGCCATATGCTTGCAGTCTGGGACAAGACTAAGAGGACTCACTCCTTGTGTTTTATGGAGGCTCTGGGGATGGAGTCCAGGCCTCCTGCGTGCTAAGCATGTGTTCTACCACTGAGCTATTACCCCTGCTCCCCAGGGATCTGCTTCTTAAACAGACTTTCAAGTAAGCCTCCTGTTCTCAGTCCCCCTTCTCCCTTTCACCAGAGATCCCTGCACTGCCATTCCTGAGATGTGGGGGTTGGCCACGGTCAAAGGTAACTGCTTCTAGCTGCTTCCGGGGCTGGGAGGGAGATCAGCCCTTGGTCATCACTTTGTGGCAATCACCTCCTCACCTGTCCCTTTTAGTTTTATGCTTAAAAAAAACTCTTCATCCCAGCGAAAAAAAATGTGACAATGAATATATATATATATGTTCATGTATAACTGAAAAATTGTGCTCTACGATGGAATTTGACACAACATTGTAAAATGACTATAACTCAATAAAAACAATGTAAAAACAAACAAACAAACAACTCTTCACTGTTCTTTCAGAGGGAACAAAGACCAACACATGTGGCCAAGCTGTCATCTTTCCCAGGAGGACACTCTTAAGTACACCTCCCAGCAATCTTACGATTTAAGTACAATCAGTCCCATTTCACAAGGGGAAAAGAGACTCAGAGAAGCTGTCTGACCAATGTCACCCAGCCAGTCCCTTATAAAGCTATCATCTGAACCCATCATTTGAGATTCACTATTATTATCCACATTTTGGAGATAAGAAAATTAAGGCCTAGAAAGGCTACATATTTGCTAAGATTCCAAGGCCAGCAAGCATCAGCACACAGATGTGAATCTGAGACCGTGTGACCTGAAAACCCACGTCCTCTCCAGTGTGCATTACAGCTCCGACTTCAGGCCGGGCCCAGCCTGGCTCCTCTATCAGGGCTCAAGAATACATTCCCAGAGTGTGTACATGGAGTGTGTCCATTTTCCTTTAAAACCAGGGGAAGTATATTTGGGTAAATCTGGATAACGCCTTTATAATCCAGCACGGCCCTGGGATTGCAGAGTCTGCATCTGTGTTTGCTATGTCACTGCTGTCTACAAGTGCCACTGGACAGCCACAGACTTCTGAGAACAGAACAGAGACTGCCTTACCCTCTAAACAGTGCGTCCACCAAGAGAAGCCAAATGAAGCCAAGGTCCAGGGAGAAAAAAGGCTTTGCAGTCACTTGGAAAGTGGGGGAAGCATCAGACCGCCCCACAGCAAGCAGATCAAGTCCGCCTTAACTCAGAACAAGCGGGGCCAGTAACCACTTTCAGGTTGTGAGCTTCACCCCACTCTAGTCAAACATTCAAGAGCACACCGATGCTCACGTGAATGCTACTGAAACTAATTCTGTCTTAGTTTACTTTGTTTTGGTTTTGAATGGTTGAATAAAAGTTAAAAGCCCAGGGGTTTGCACCCAGTTATCATGCAGACGTAAACAACATTTAACAGTAAAAATAATTTAGGCAAATGTGGGGGTCGGGAGACTTGGCTGAAGGTTCTTTTTCCCTTTAGGACCAGTTTGAAAAGTCAGGGAACCTGAAGACTGGACAAAAGGAGACAGCCAAGGCTGTGGCACCTGTCTGGGCGTGATGAGCCCTGCGGGCGGCCGGCGGCCCTTTCCTGTAATGTTCGTTCCCACCATCACCTCTACAAACCCTCTGCATTAGGAGTTACTTCCGTTCATGTCCTTTTTCCTTCCAAGTGGTGGGCAATGTGGGGGTGAAAAACCCTCCCTTTCCCGTGCACATCCCATAGCACTTAGCAGTGTGCCACGCGGAAGAGGACCGTATCCACTTATCTGCTGGAAAATGACACCTCTAATTATAGGTGAGAAAACTGAGGCTCCGAGAAGCCTGGCTGGTTCCAGGCTACCAGGCTGCACACGAGCAGTCTGACTGCAGAGCCTGTGCGTTTAGTCTCTGGACCCGCTTCGTTAAGAACACCGCCTGGCCAGCACGCGGCCTGGCAACTCTCGGGACTCAAAGTCGGCTGAACTGGTGGGATGACTCCATGCGGTCTCGGCAAGGCCGCCCCCTCAGGGCCCGTCTCCCCCATCTGTCAAGCGGGGCGCCCCCGGAGCTCGGGCACGCGGCGGGCAGCGGGAGGGCGTGCGGACCGCCCTCTGGGCCCTTACCATTTGATGATGTTGTGAACCAGCGGGAGGAAGGAGCAGTTCTCTTCCGCCTTCATGCCGGCCGGGGACGGAGGCCTTGGCGCCGGCTGTGGCTGAGGCACGGAGACCGGCTGCGGCGGCTGCGTCGGCGGCAGCGGCTTCGTCTCGGGCAGCGGCGGTTCGGCCAGCGGCGGCAACGCATCCTCGGCTTGTCGGCCGGCGGCCACCCCCACAGAGGCCATAGCGCCCCGGGCTCCGGCTGCCGGTCAGCGGTGCCGCCACTCAGCGCGCCGGAAGCGTCGCGGCCTCCTGACGTCACCACCGTGCGCCCGCGGGGGCAGGACCTGGAGGACGGCTGACAGCGCACGCTCTAGGGAGTGGGGCGGGGCCAGGGCGCGGGGCGGGGCCAGGGCGGCCGTTACTAGGCAACAGCCGGCTGGCCGGTCGGGGTTGGCCTGGGTTTGGCTGTGCGAGAACACAGCTCAGTTTTTAAATAGTCGGAAATTGGAGATGTATTTCAGGAGTAACATCCTACTCCTATTCACGTTACGAAGAGGTTCAAAAGCAACCAGTACAGGAAGCTCTGAGATACCTCAGCCCTCGAGAAGAATGAGCGGCACCTGCCCAGCCCCTGCAGGTGTCAGGCCCTGGCCCGCGGGCGTGGGGAGTGCGGGGGAAGGGCCCGTGGCTCCCGGCCGCCCGCGAGAGGCCCTGTGCCCGCCCTAAGGACGCAGAAGCAGAGACATTGCGAGGGACTAATAATTCAAGGCTTAACGTGTATCTTCTGGTGACATACTGTGCTGACTGTGGGGGAGGGGTAGGAACGCTGCCCCGACTTCGGTACAAGGCAGAAGGGGATTAGTGCCAGGAATAAATATCATAACCGAGGGGAAAGTCACCGTCAGGTACACTCTGTGCCTAAGGGCCGGTTCCTTAAGCCCCTAGGTCTCAGTGTCCTGGCCTCTAAAACCTTCTTTAGTTCAGAGTCATGGCAGAGGCTAAACCACTTTCCAACTTCAGGCACATGGCTGACCTCCAAAGGTGTTGTTTGCGTGAGGACTCCCTAGGATCCTAGGTCAAAGCAGAAGGACTTATGGTGGGTTTGTGGTTACATTCCATAAAGCAAGTCCTCCCCAGCTGTGACATGGGGGCTGTTTAGTAAGTTTCTGGGCCCAAGCTTAACTAGTGAATGGGAGATGTGAGCTGGGAAAGTCCTGTCCGTCCTTAGCAGCTTGAGAGAGGCAAGGAGTCCACAGTCGAGTGGTAAATAAGCACCAGCCCTTAAGAGCAAGGTGGCCGACCCCAAGGAAAGCAGCGATGCTAGTATATTCAGATGCATCCGGAGGGGTCTTTGGAAGCCGGTCCTGGGGGAGAAAGGCTGTAAGAGGAAGTCAGGAGGTTGGAGAGTGTGCTTAGGGGCTCTCTGGTAACGAGCCTCAGCACAGCTTTCTTGTAAGAACTGCCTAGAGCACTCCAGAGTGGGGCACAGGGAGGGCAGGGGCTGCTAACCATGGGCCCCTCCACCCCAGGGAAGTGTCAGGGGCCCTGGTGGCCGACGGGGAGGGGCCTTGCTGGGTCAGGGCCGGATGCTCTTGAAGAGGCTGTGCCTGGGAAGTAGTCTGGGGAAATGACGGTGGTGCTAACAGAGTAGCTACCACAACTGCTGTGGATTCAAAACAGGTGCGAGGGACCAAGCACAGGCATCTCGGTTCATCCACAAAGTGCTCTAAAGGTGTGTTAGTGCCTCCATTTTACAGATGGCTAAGATGCTGGCCCCAGGGCCACTCAGCCACCCACACGAAGCCTCTGGTCTCGACCGGCACTCAGGAGACCTCGGTCCCTACCAGTTCTGGGACTTGGTGGTTCAAAATGTTAACGTGAGATTTTTATTCAGAATTTGAAAAGAATGCAACATTCAGCAATAACACCCCCAAGGCAGTTGCATGTTGTCTTTCCCTCCTGGTGTGTTTATGACTTCATTACAAGCCCCAGCTTTATCGCTGGCAGAATAATGAGGACACCTCCTTTTTAAAAAAGAAAAAAACACTTCAGCTATAAATAGATATGACTAAAGAAAATAAGCTGAAGACGTAGGAAGCACACACGAGTAGGGTGCATTGACAGTTTGCCCTAAAAATAGTTAATACAATTAGCGGCAAAGAGTAAGGCTGACCTCATAACATCGCAGGCGGATATCAGAAAAACAGCCTGTGCTGGTTTCATTAAAGCTGAAATGACCACAAATGCATGATTGTTCGTAACTGCCCTGTTAAAAGTCAAAAAAAAAAAAAGGGCAGAAGCGCCACTGATACGTGTGGTGTCGATGTCCCCCAGTAGAGCTCTGCTCGCCGTGCTCTTGGGCAGATCTAACTCTTGTGGGCCCCTCCAGCCCAGCTGGTGGTGGCCGGGTCACCGCCAAGCCACCTGCTCAGTCCCTGCTCAGCCTGTTTGAAGTCGCATAACTTTGGACAACTGCACAACCTCCCAGGAAGACCGAACGGATTATTACACCTAAATCACTTAGAAAAGTAAATGTGAACAGTAAATATCAGTTCTTACTGTTCAGACTTGGGGCTCATTCTTTCACCAATTAACAGAACCCAGAATTAAGGGCTGGATCTGTGCTCTCCAATAGAAATATAACACAAGCTGTAAATGCAAGATGCTGGGGTCGTTTTCAATTTACTAGTAGCCATGTTAAAAAAATAAAAAGAAACAGGTGGAATTAATTCTAGTCATGTATTTTACTTAATGTGCCCAAAATGTTATCATTTCAACACATAAGCAATATTAAAAGTGATTAAAGAGGCACTTTACTGTTTTTTGTACTGTCTTTGAGGTCTAGACTGTACTTTGCCCATATAGCACGTCTCAGCCAGAATAGCCATATTTCAGGTGTTCAGGAACCCGATGTGGCCAGCGGCTACAAACCTGGATGGTGCAGTCTGGAAGATCAACACGGATCAACCCAGACAGGGCTCACAGTCGTAACAGTGAGAAGGAAAAAAGAGAGTATTCACAAAGGAAATGGAATCTGTTGCTACCTACACAAATGTCTGCAATACAAAAAATAGCAGTATCCTCCGCCCAACTAGACACACATGTGACGGTGTTTTAAAAGGGACTGAAGGGCCTACCTGGCATTCAGGGGACAGAGGATGACAATTTAATAGACATTGAAACTTTCTTGCAGTTTTATGGTTCTTTCATGGATTATAAGAGGACTTGAAGCGAATGGGGAAAATGCACAATTGCCAAGGATGGGAGTGGGTGCCTGAGAACCCAGGCGCTGCTCTTTCAGGCTGTATGTCCTTGGACAAGCTGCATAACCTTCCTGTGCCTCAGCTTCCTCATCTGCAAAATGGAATCACAACAGTACCTGCCCACTGGGCTGCTGTGGTGGTTCCAGGGGTCAGTGTCTGGAGAGGGCTTCCAGTGCCAGACATGCAACGAGCATGAGTGAAGCTTTAGTATTTTAAAATTGTTTTAAAAAATTTCTCCAAAAAACCCCCAAAAAACCCCACATGATGACTCCCTGTCAAACTGTTACTATAAGAACACCCACAGGAACCAGGCTGCATCTGAGAACTGAGGTTTCAGATGCTCTAGGTGGACCTATGCCACAAACACCCACAAATGTGTTCGTGATGCATTTCTGCTACCTGATGTCCAAAAATAGTCGTTTCTTCATCAGCCAAACCTCGTGAGGACATTTAAAGCCATCATGCCATTGAATGATCGGGGCTTTTTCATCAAAGCTATACTCTTACGTATGATTCATCCTTTTCTTTCATTAACCGGAGCCTCAGGCAGGTTGAAAAAGCTACATGATACTTTGATTTTTGTGAGTACAAAAAAAAAAAGAAAAGAAAAGAGGCAGCAATCACTGTTCAGGCCAAACATTGTGCGACATGTGCCCAAAATCAGATCACCCAAGCCACGAAGCGTGGCTCAAACTGCAGGACAGAAGCCGTTCCTCAGATCCATTTCGTGAATTGCCGTTCTTCTGTCCGAATTTGATTTGATTCTTTTTTTTTTATCCCTTTCAACCATCCTCTCCTTACTCTCAGATGCTATATTATGCCCAGTGTGTCAACTCACTTACTTTATTTTTTTTAAATTGAAGTACAGTCAGTTACAATGTATTAGTTTCTGGTGTACAGCACAATGTCCCAGTCATACGTATATATACATACTCTTTTTCATGTCCTTTTCCATTGAAGGTTATTACAAGATATTCACTATAGTTCCCTATGTTATACAGAAGAAATTTGTTTTATATCTATTTTTATACATAGTCAACTCACTTTAGTGTTTCATTTCTCAGAAGCACTTATTTTGGGACATTTCAGCACCCAAGTTCGACTGTATTCTGTTCAGACTCAGAATTTTCCCCCAAAGAACTTTCCTTTAATTCTTAGTCCTTATTTTCGCCAGACCTCCACCAGCTTTTGATATAATGAAAATGAAAGGCTGTCCATTGCAGGAACTAGTTTTTGTCTAAAATGGTTCGTCATTATTCTGATGCCTTACACCATCTGATCTCTTTACTAAGTCATTTTTATTCAAATTCTCTGTTAGCTGAGTTTTTTTTCTGTCTTTCAGCTGCTTTCTCTGAACAGTTTTCTCAGAGCAAGAATCAGTGGGGAAGGAGCAACGGGGCAAAGTTAACCTGAACCGGTGAGAGGAGGTCGGAAGCCAGCGACCACCGGTACCAGGCAGCCCCTCACTGTGTGATCTCAGGCTGTCGGGGCACCTCCTGAGCCCTCCCCTAAGGGGCAGGTCTGGAGGAGCGGCTCCAACCCTGTACCTGCCAAGTACCAGCTCCGTGACCTCGCGTGAGTCCGTCCGCCAACGTGTGCGTGGGCGTCTCAGTGGTCCCCTTCCCCGCCCAGGTGTCGGGGGTGAGAGACTACGGCCTGGTCCAGTGTCAGGCACAGCCTGGAGCCCGGGGCCCAGGGAATGGCGTTAGAAGTGTGATTCCCGCCTGTTTCTTCAGGTGCTTTCCTGTTCTTTCTCCTGGTGTCTGCGGTGACACATCCTGAGAGCTGTCCACACACAGCTCCACGTTAGCCAGCGACCCAGGAAAAGCAGATCAGAAGTCAGAGCAGATGGAGTCCCGTTGCTGCGTCCTCTTTCCTGCACTTTCTGCATTTCAGCTCTTGTTTTGGTGTCCCGGGCGACCAGACTCACGTATCGCCATCAGGATGACACCGCCCTGGTGACGGAAGACGAAGGTGACAGTCAACCCGGGTGGAGCCATGCCCCGTGCGTGGCCAGGCATCAGGTGCCGAGGACGCGGGGGCTGTGAGGA